TTTGAATAAATTAAGAAAATTGCTATTTTCACACCCATTTTTGCTAATACTACTCTTCAAAATTTAAAAGATGCTTCAGAAGAGATATTATTATTAAAAAACTTTCTTTATAATCTTAATAAAAGTTGTTTATTAGGCTTTTCTAGTTCTAATAGTAGTAAAATTATTAAAATTAGACTAGTAGTTTTTAAGATATTTATATTTGAAGTTAGTAACTTTTATTTATATTTAAAAAAACTATTAGTCTGATTTTAATAATTTTTATTAAGACCAAAAAGAAGATTTACTTAAAAATAATATCTTTTTTGAAGCATCTTTGATATATAAAAGGTGGTATTAGCAAAAATAGAGAGTAGAAATAGCAACTCTCTAAATTAAATAATACCAAAATTATTGAATTTTGATTACTAGATTATGAGATATTGTAAAATTTGTTAAAATTTTTTAGAGTACAAATCTTTGCAAATTTGTATAATATTTATTTTGCTAACCAATTAAAATTGTCTTATATAGAAGAAAAAAGAATATACTTATAGTAAATAAATATTATATAATATCTATTTTAGCTTTAACAAATATATAAATATATGTATCTCAAATACAGTTAGGGAATATACCAAATTAAGAAATCAGGTTCTAGAATGATTTACATAGATTTGATTAGCTTTTGTGTGCCTTTTTGCTAGCATTTTTTAGAAATTTTTTACATATTCAATTTATTATTAGAAACTTCTGAATAAAAATACAAATAGATAGTAGAAAACATGTAGTTTAAATAATCTACAATAATCTACTCTAGTTAACTCTTATTGAAAAAGTAAATAAGACTTGAAATATTCCAAAATTTTTTGTTTGTTCAAAAGGCTAACAGGTGAAAACTCAAAATTTTACTAGCTAGACAAGGCTACAGGTCAAAGAGACTTATACTTTTTTAATATCTACTATTTATATTAGTTTTATATATCATTACTTACTAATTAGCTTTTAAGATATACTATTCAATTATAGATCTTTGAACTCTTAAATTTTATTCAGGCATTTTCAAATGCTCTAATCAATAGATCAAAATATATCAAAAATATGTCTTGAATTTTAATTAGCTAAAAGTATTTTTAATTGATTAAACATGCTTGGAATTAAGGTGAATAAGATACGAAACATATTGCTTATTCTATTAAAGATAAATTTTAACCATAAAAATGTTTAATGAATTATCAATGCTGCCAATTTTGTAGCTTCAAATCCAGAATCAAAAACTCATTAACAGAGATTTACATAGCAAAATATTTTGCAAAATTATCGCTAATTTTAGATTTTTTGGAAAGTATAGAAAGAAAACATTTATAGAATTCTGATATATATGAATGCTACCAAAGAAAAAGCACTTTGAATTTTCAATTATAAGGACAAGTGGGGTATTATGATGAAGTTAACAAATTTCGAATATAGTACATGATTTATCAATTAAAATCGAATGATTTTAGTATTGTTTGATTCATTTCATTGAGTTGAATCGATTGATACCAAAATCATTTGATTCAGGTCACTAAATCCCGAGATATGCTAATTTAAAGTTTTATTAAAAAATAAGAGATTTTTTTGTACTAGAGGGTATTGTGACGAATTGGAATATCTTGTGATCCTGCAGTCAGAATTTAGCAATTTTTATATTATTCGATTCTTCTCGATAAAAGGAATCAAATAGTATAAAAATCACCAGATTCTGATCACAGGGTCACAAAATATTCCTAATTCATCACAATATCTATTTACTATAGGATTCTATATATATTTTATATATCTAAATGGTCTAAACACAAATATCTTGTGATTCAGTGATCCAAATTAGGTGATTATTATACTATTCAATTCCTTTCAATAAGATGAATCGAATGATATAAATTTCACTCTATTCTTATCATGAGATCATGAGATATCCTGAGCAGCAGGGAGGGCGAGCAGACTTTTTTGTATGTTTTTACACCTTCTCTTTCACGAGTTTTTTCGTCAGTCCATTAAAATTGATACTAATTTTTTGGTGTTTTTATACAAAGCAAACATAAATCTCTCATCATTCGACTGACGAAGCAAACATAAATCTCTCATTAATCACATCATTATTCACATAAAAACTTTTTTTTCTGACTTCGAGTGATAAAGTCACGAGAAGGTGGGCTTAAAAAATAGTGACTAATTGTGGTGTATTTTTACACCCTTCAGTCTGCAAGTTTTTAAAGCTAAAAATCGTTAAAATTAGTACTAATTTTTTGGTATATTTTTATACCTTCTGTTTGCAAGTTTTTTCTGACTTCAAGCATATATGCAAGAAGGTAGGATTAAGTTTTATTTTGGCTTTGAACAGTATCTGCGAGAAGGCAGAGCTGGTGAGAATAAAATTGCAAGATATAAAACCCACCAGCATGATCTTTACATGCTTTGGGTATAGAACTAGTAGGTTTATCACAAACTTTGCAGAGGACATGTTTTTTAGACCTCCAATGTTTATGGCATCCTTGAGGATGACGACAACCACGACCACAAACTTCACCAGAGTTATGCAAATAATCACAAGTAAATTTTCCAGACATGAGTAAAAGAAATGTTTTTTATTTAAACAAAAGATATGAATAAAGTAATATATAATAAAAAATACAAATATTCAAAATAATAGATCATAAAGATATCAAAACAGCTTTAGTTGAAGTGATTAAAGTAGCATATAGTCAAGATACCAAAAAATATGACAAATTAGAAGCATCATATGTAAACTATCTTAAAACTTTACAGCAAAAAAGAGATCCAGAAGATCATGTTAGATATGTAGCAAAGCAACACGCTCCAAATGAGAAAATCTATAATGAAAGAATGGCAGATTTCAAAGATTGGTATAATGAGGAAGTATATACTAGTCTTGAAAATTTATATAAGTTGTCTTCAAAGAATTCACGGTTTAGAAATTTAATATTGTTTAAGAATCCATTTAGGTGGATATACAACTTTACCAACTTTCATCAATTGTTCTCTCACGAATGATCTTTCAAGACCATCTTCATTTTCATTTATAAGCCAGTATAACACCGGTTGATTTTTTTTTGTATTAATAATTCTTTAATGTGATAAACCTTTGGAGACCAATTCATATCATTTATGCATCTTCTGCCAAATTCTAATTTTCCGGGTTCAAGTAAATATAAAACTGAATCTTTATAGGTTAACCGAGGTTCATCAAATCCAATAGGTCTACGATGTTTTACAGATGG